ATGTGACCCTGGACCACAAAACCAGTCATAAGGGTCAATTTGATGAAATTGAGATGTTTACATCATCTGAAAGTTGAATAAATGGGTTTTCCATTGATGTATGGTTTGTTAGGATAGGACAATATTTGGTCGAGATACAACTATTTGAAAATCTGGAATCTGAGGGTGCAAAAAAATCTAAATATTGAGAAAATCGCATTTAAAGTTGTTCAAATGAAGTTCTTAGCAATGCATATTACTAATCAAAAATTAAGTTTTGATATATTTACGATAGGAAATTTACTAAATATCTTCATGGAACATGATCTTTACTTAATATCCTAATGATTTTTGGCATAAAAGAAAAATCGATAATTTTGACCCATGCAATGTATTGTTGGCTATTGCTACAAATATACCCCAGCGACTTAACACTGCTTTTGTGCTCCAGGGTCACAAATGAGTCATCAAAAAGTGCCTGAGCCAGAGAGCATTGCCTGCGTTTGCCTCTTCTCCAAAAATAGCCCGCATTTTAATGTGAAGCAACGAAAACGCAACTGGCCTAAAGATTTGCATTGCCAAACAACACGGGTGACCTTTGGTGGAGGCTTCTTTGGCCACGTTTCAACCGCAGCGAGCGCTCTTGTTTACATGCGTGTGAAATGGCAGGCAGGAGGAGATGAAGAGGAGAGGGCTGCTTCGCTTTAAAACACAACGCTGGAAGCGGTTACGCCTTGCAAAGACACCTGGGGCATCAGTGCCGCTCCTAATTGAGAGATCGTACATCTGTCTGAGAAGCAGGCATCGCGCTGGACTAATGAGACAGTAAACTGGTACGAGGCGCCAAAGAGGCGAGCATGAGAGAGAATGAGGCGTGATGCATGCTGGCTTTGAATGGAAATATCAGATACTAATGGCTGCAAATCTCCCAGATCAACCCTGTCAACCCTCAGGATAGTGGAGGATCCTGTCGGCTGCGAGCTCGGCCAAAATCAAATTTTGCTGGAGCTGCAGAAAACAAAGATTTTCATCTTTTCTCCCCAACTCCTCGGGATTCCAGAGCTCAAGCGTGACAGGCAACAAACCTGACAGATCTATAAAGGTAATTTGTAAGCACATCACTGCACAGTATGAAGCATCTGTCCGGAGGTCTGTCCGCCTGGAAACGGCATTGTTTTGAGCATTGAATATCCGTGGCTTTCTCGGCCGTTCGTGATTAGTAAATGAAAAGTCAAAAAAAGGTGCTCAGCGTTCAGACTGAGTGATGATCATCAACCTTGCAAGGTCAAAATAAAATTTAAAAGAGCTGTTTTATTTTGTTATTAATTTTCAATGAGGTTTGCGGATAAATAAATAAATAAATAAAAATTAGAAATAAAATATATTTTTTAAATGAGTTGGATGTAATAGCATTGAAAAATTAGCCTAAATAATCTATTAATTGTAGTTTGGGACCAAATAGTTCTTGATCGACTTTTATTGTCAGAAATTTAGGAAAATTATTTGTTTTGTCATTCTGTAATAAAATAACGTTGTTGACAAAGTTGAAGGTCAAGATATAAATAATCCAAATGTTGTTTATGTATGATTTTAATCATTGAATAAAGTTGAAAAGGTCTCTAGGATGGGACAGGCCCAAATCACATTTAAAGAGGGAGAAATAGATATTTAATGTATTTAAATTTGATCCATTTAATAGGTTAATTGTTATATGTTAAATACATACACACACACACACACACACACACACATACATTATATTTTAGGATTTTATTCATTTAAATTACAATTCCATGTCCATGGGGTATCCTGACCTTGGCTGTCATATTCAAATGATTTTTCCGAAGCCCTGGTTCAAGCACCAAATCCAGGATAAACAGGTAAGATAATTCTCACAATTAATGGTTTAATGAACTATAATGAAACAACATCGCTTCCATTATAGATCTGACCATTTGTGTGCATGCACCACCTACAGCGCTGTAAATATACGTGTGAACTCAATCTGCAAAGGAGGCATGCTTTTGTTTTTCCACACAGCTCCTGGCACAGGCCACTCCACCTTCATCGAGTTAAAAGGAGCGACTGGGAAATGAATTGAAAACAAACTCCATCACCCCCACTGAAATGATAAAGCTGCAATGAGTACGAACCATAAATCTTTAATTTCACAGCCATACATATTCCCCTGCAATTACAGCTGCGCCGCGCTCCGCGTCCGACAGAGGGTGCGCTCACGCGAGATGAACTTTTTAGCGGTGCCCATCAACAGTATGTTGCTTTGCATCACAGTTTATCATCTGAGCATTTTTAAAAAGAAGATGCATCTATAAAAACTTCGATAGATGCTGTTTATAGTCGTGCATCTCCCAAAACCCCTCTCTGTTGACAAAGAAATGCGTGATTCTGTCAGCGTACGCGGCACGCGCCGTCTTTCTCCTTGAGAGGGCAACGCTCACCTTGAACTAGATTTGCGATTAAACCCAATTCACAGGGTGGAAAGGTGCGTCCACGAACGTGCTCGTTTCTCGGTGGCACATAAAACACAGCGTGAGACAAGCGGAGCGTGTGCGGGTGCGCGTGCGAGTGCGCCAGTGCGCGTGTGTTTTGAATTCAAATGTCAGCAGCGAAATGCAGAGCAGATACCGCAGCATGCCAATGAACTTCTGCGGCTTCACGTCTAATCATCATGTGTGTGTGTGTGAGCCACATCAGCTGGTGCGCCTCAAGTTAGTGTGCATAAGGCATTGCATTTTGACACATAATGGAATACTGTTACATGCAACATACCATGTTTACTTCGGATACCATGTCTATGCTGGCTATGTCTATATTCATGCCTACCGCCACCGGAGCGCCTGATGGAGAGAAAGGAAAAATGATTAAAAGGGAAATTGTATGCATGCATGCATGCATATACCCACACTTTTACGTGCAGGTGCCAAATGACACTAAATAGCATTCTATATATGAAACTGCATGCATTATATGTATATGAAACACCAACACCCCAAATTCACGTGGCATTGCGCATGAAATTGTTGATTTGTTACAAGCACTGGAGGTGAACGCACAAACGCAACTGGATGACTGACAAATGCACAGTTAGACGCGTCCTTCTATCAATAACAGCTTGAGCATCTTCTATGATGGACTCGTATGCGTGCATCAAAGGAGATTTTAAAGCATGCCATTTCATTTGCTGTCATGATGCAACAAAAGTTGCGCTGCAAATTGAATTGATCCCCAAGTTAGCGTCCCTCTCTGGGAAAAGATGAAATAGCGGTAAATAAGCGTGCGTTCATTTTTCTCATGCATTGACATGCACGCCTGATCAGAGACTGAGATGAATGAACAAGGTTTGCATGAGTAATTGGGCATGTTAGTGCGCGTGACAATCCAAATGCAACAATTATACGAATTTTACTCATGCATTAGCCTACCTCCGAAATCTGGCCTCAGCCGAATGTCGTATCCTTTCATGAGTCTGTCCACGGTGTCTTTGACCACCGGCATATTGCTCGGGTCTCTGATACTGCAATAATATCACGAGATGTTCTCTTACATCCTCTTACATCCCCAAAACACATCATTTTCTTTTCTGAAACGCCACAAAACGCAACCCTACCTTTGCGCGCACGCCACGGCCACGATCAGCGGACATAATAGGAAGATGTGTGGGGTTTTTCCGATACTCTCCATCGCAACAGTTTTGATGGGCTTTTGGATGTGATGATGAAGACAGCGCACATCCAACTTACTGAAGCCAGTGCAGCGAAGGCAATGAGCTGCGCATGCGCACACGCCAGCTCCAGATCAAAGAGCAGCTCCTGATGATGCTGGATGAGCTGTTTCCATTGCGGGGGAAAAATTAAAGGGACGACTGAATAAACCAAGTCAAGAGAAGAAGACATCAGGTGATCTTCATGCAGCATTTTTAGTCCTGTGTGTGAATGTGGAACGTGGAAGGTGACACGATGGGGTTTAGTCATCATAGCGAACTTCAGGTAGCCGATCATAGTCATTAACATTTACTTTAAAGTCGTAAAATAAAGAGTTTTCGCAATGTGTTTATTGTGAGAAAACATATTCAACATATTACAGTTAAAAGACCAAATGAGAGGTTTCTTCGCTGTGTAATTCCTATTGAATTTAGACAGTAGCTACTTTAAATTACAACCCTTAAAGCGAAACAGGTGGCATTAGGGGGAGGGGCTTTTTCATTCCAGAAACCATTTGATTGGACGAAAAGTTGAACACGCCCCTGAGAGCAGGATAAGTCATCAATCATTTTAGTCCGTCTTCCCAAGAATTGTTTTAAATCTGTTAAGATTATTTTGTCAATTTTAAGGAGATAACTAGTATTTAGATGACCTCAAAACTAATTAAATGTAACTAAAAACTACAAAATGTAGGTTATAAAGATGTGAAGATGAAAAAGTGTTTAAATTCTGTGCCATAAGAGGCACCAAATTTCGAAACGAATCACTGGTTACACTTTATTTTAAGGTGTCCTTGTTCCAGTGTAATTATACAATTAAGTACCGAGTAATATTAATTAACTACATGTACTTACTATATGGTTAGGGTTTGGCTTAGGGTTACTTGAAACTACCAAAACATTTTCAGACACCTTCAACATTTCTCACATTATATCACATTTTATTCGCTATAGTTTAGAAAATGGTAATAAAATATGACAAGAACTTAACAAGTTAAACTGTGTCAGAACAAATTCAGGTAACACTATTTTAAGGTGTCCTTGTTACAAGTCACATGTACTTACTATTTTAATAACAATAAAGTATGCATAATTACATGCAAGTAACCCTAAGACTAACCCTAACCATATAGTAAGTCTACTGTACATGTAGTTCATAAATATTACTCAGTACTTAAATGTATAATTACACTATAACAAGGACACCTTAAAATAAAGTGTAACCCAAATTCATCTTGATAATGTCAGATAACTTTGATAGAAAGGTATGTAAGGGATTACAATCAACCAAAAAATATTCAGCTGTTAAATTTAAGTACACAATTAGATAATACCAATTTAGGTCAACCAATTACCAATTAATTTTGTTCAGACTGTGGTGTAAAAAGGTCGCATTATCAATTAAAGGAAAGACACTTAAGCAAAACATGGTTAGGTCTGAATAATTCTGAATAATTTTTGATCCCAAATTTTATTGCTAGTCCACTGTATGAAGAATTTCTGGGTATAATTTGTCACAGTTCACTTTATTTTGCTATCCTCACTTACATTTACACGTATGAACTATAGTGTCCTGCACCCACTAGTAAAAAAAGGTCAAAAATTATATCTGGTGTCTGAATAATTTTTGGTTTGACTGTAATTATGCATAATTTATTGTTGTTATAATAGTGTCACGGTATGCTGTTGGAAGGAGTACGAGGGAAACGAGGAGTACAATCAAAAGTCTTTAATTCAAGGAACACAGGGTAAATCCACACAAAGGGCGCTGGAGCAAACACACGTACACAACGAGTAGACCAGACAGAGACAGACTGCACAGACTGGGACTTAAATACAGGGGATGATTGGGGAACCACAGGTGCATGGGATGATAATCAAACTAATTAACAAAACGAGGAAAGGAACATGACCAAATAAGGGAACAGAAACAGGGGCAAAACATGACACAGACAGTCCATGATCCTGACATATCGCCCCCTTCCCGGAAGGTGCCTCCTTGCACCGTAGAACAACAGAGGGGGGGAAAAATGGGTGGGAACTAAGGAGGAGGCTCAGGAGGAGGACGGACGTCCGGGAGGGGGCTGGCAGACAGAGTCCAGGGAGGAGACAATGGAGGGAGGAGCCAGGGAGGAGACAGGAGGGGCCTGGAGCAGGAGGAGTCCAGCTG